TGTCGTGCTGCTGCAGTCTGTCGCTAGCATTGTGTTCCACACATGAGTGCAAGCGTTACCAAACGACGAGGAGCAAAAGCAAACAGCAAAAATATATAAGAAGTGGAAGTGAAAATGAAAACCGAAAAGGAAAATGAAGACGATAAAAAATGAAAATGTAAAAAAATGCAAGGTAAGCCAGTCTCATGCTGTAGCACAGCTATGCAAGCAGTTTTGCTATCAGTGCTCAGCAGTGGCAACAACAACGTGCTACAAATCATTGAATGCACGTTGCTGCAAGTGCACATGTTTATCTATTCGTTTTCACAAGCTTTCACATACACACACACACAACTACATATAAGCGCACACATATAATGCATTTATTTATTCGGGAAAATAACAATATTTTATATACTAGTTTGGAAGACCAAGGGTAAATGACGTGACGTGATTTATACTGTGCTCCCACGACTTACGATTCTAAGGCTGCACACATAGTGAAAGGAATAAACGCATGATATTAGACCGGTAAAAGTCATTTGTCGCACAATTGGATAATTTTTAGTCAGATGATCATAAGCAGGGTTGCAAAAAATACATTAAAGAGATAATGAAATTAATATTTAAATTAAACATTTGTTTAGAAATCCTTTTGAAAATAAGGTATTAATCAAAAAAATCTAATTAAAATTAACATAAAATATTTACCACTAAATACCGGATTGAAAAGCAAATGTTAATCGCAAGAATACCTTACTTACTTGCTACCAAAAATTTAAGAAACAATAGATTAAGTTTAATTTTTGTGACTTTGAATATTATATTTGAAAAATAAAAGCTTAATTAAAACAAATATTCAACAAAGTTCCCTTTACTTGCTATTAATTAATTTCTATGGTTCTAAGGTTAGAAATATTTTTTTTTTTAATTTATACTCAAATTTTGAAATTAAAGATTTATAAACTACATATTTTATGTGCAAAATCGTGAACATTTTGGGTTAAAAATATCTACATTTAAAATGTGTATATTTTTATTAATAGCAAAAAAATATCTAAAAAAGAATAACTTCAAATATTTAGCGAAAACACTATTCGCAAAACTTTTAATAACTGAAATAACTAACAATTCGGCCGAACATTCAAAAAGTGTTGCCTACATTTAGGAACGAAAAAACTTATACATATGACCCAATACCCGCCTCAAAAATATGATCACGATCACGATATATCACGATTTTTTACTAATAGCAAATATTTTTTAGTAAAAACCAAAGGTAAGAAAAAACAGATATTGAAATTGTATTGATAATGTAATGTGAAATTATTACTTTTAAATAAAATTCAAAAATGAAATTTATTAAAAAAAAAATATATATAGGTCGTCAAAAAAGTCTTGCGGTATTTTCGCTAGTTGGCGCTGAGAGCGCTAGTTTTATTCGTCGCATCGGGTCATGCGATGTCGCATCGGGTCATTGGAAAGCTCATTTCACGCGCTAACACGTGTNAATTTAAAATCTTAAAAAATATTATGGTAATGATTTTTTACTAATAATAAAGTGAAGAGTTTTTCGCTAACCCAAAAGCACAGTGCGTGTATCAAATTATTGAAATGTAAGTTTGTATTGTTTAATAAATAATTTTATAAGTACTATATATTTACATAACATTCATCTACATTAAATTTATTTGCATAAAAAAACCATAAATGTTGTTATCAGGCGAAAAAATATATCTAACGGCACTAACGTCGCTTATCGGAAACGCAAGTGCTTACACTCGATTATTTATGAGATAAACAAAAGCTTATCTTAAATTTAATTTCGCTTGTGGGAAATTTTGCATACATATATTACGTACGTACGTGTACAAATATAAAGCACTTATGCGGCAATGATTAGCAAATATTGACTAACTGATAATGTATAATGCGAATAAGCAATTAGAAGTGTACTATATACCTGTCTCTTATACACATCTAGATGTGTATAAGAGACAGCATATATTACGTACGTACGTGTACAAATATAAAGCACTTATGCGGCAATGATTAGCAAATATTGACTAACTGATAATGTATAATGCGAATAAGCAATTAGAAGTGTACTATATACCTGTCTCTTATACACATCTAGATGTGTATAAGAGACAGCATATATTACGTACGTACGTGTACAAATATAAAGCACTTATGCGGCAATGATTAGCAAATATTGACTAACTGATAATGTATAATGCGAATAAGCAATTAGAAGTGTACTATATACAACATAACCTAGAAATTGAAAAGCAGACAAGAACGGTAATTTGAGCAATACGAACAGCTGATGTGCTAATGAAATGCAAAAGCTTTATTTTGCCGATTGCAAAAATGGAGTGAAATTTAAGATAAATTATGATTAGATGAATAAGCAGGAAAGGGTGAATAAATATACGGATGTAATGTGACGTACAAAATGAGCGATTGCAAATATTAGAGGTTAGATAAGCATAAAAAAAGAAGTTTGTATGTAAACATATGAAAAGAAACCAAATGAAATTTAAAAATTACAAAAACTAAAACCAAATGAAATGATAAAAAAGAGCAAAAGCAAATTTGGCGCACAAAAATCGAAGAGAGTGTTGTGCCATTGAAAGTGAGAGAGTAGCGCAACACAGCTGAGATTGTACGTATGCAAGTAGTGAGTGAACAGCGGAAAACCGAGTGTGAGCGAGTGAGGAGTTTCAAATCAAAAAGTAAGCACTGTAGGAAGGTAGAATGCATGCATACAGACATAAATATGCATATCAATTTGTACCACATTGCAATGTAAGCCCATTGCCGCGTTGGTGTGCCGCCCGCCAACTGTTTTCGGCTATGATTTTTGTATTTTTCTTTTTCACCAAGCATACATACTTTTGCATATATAATACATATATACATATACAGTGTGCGACAAATTTAAAGCACGGTATCTACCTTGTCGGTATTTAAATTAATAAAGGCTAAATGTTCGGAAAACAATACAATGATTTATTCCAAACTTTTTTGCAATAGTCATAACCGATTTTCTTTTGCTTAAAATCCTTAACACTTTTTTTCTAAAATGAACAGAATGGTTATTTCGAGCCATTGATATATCTTTCACTTTAATATACAACCAACCGTATTGAATAACGAACTGCAACTGAATATTCACTAATATGTTTCAAATTAGGTAATAACTACACATATCCAACATTTTCTGATCATTAAATCCCGTTTGACAAACAATTAATGTAAATTCTTAGCTTAGCTCATAAAGCTTTAATTTTGTCGCACCAGATTTTTGGAGTTCTTCATATATTTAATTTTATGTAATATTTAATTAAATTAATTTGTTTAATTTTTACTAATTTTAAAATAAAAATACATGAACTAATAATACAAACTGTATGATTTCATTCAGTTAAATACCCGCAAGGTAGATTCCGTGCTTTAGTTTTGTTGCACACTGTATATGTATGTATGTACTAACAGAACACATGACAACGAGAGTGTTACGTCAAAGAACAAAAATTAAACATAATTCGGTTAGCGGTTTTATACACGATGAACAGCGACAAAAATTACAACGGAAGTAAATATGATTTAACGTTCATACGGTGGAATTATTACAATTGTTATTAGACAATTATGATTATTTGTTTATCGATTTAATTCCAATTAATTTATATACTATTTATAGGTATGTATATATGTGTGTATGTTGAGTATAGTATATTATATCTACTTGCCCATCATCATAAGTTTACGTACTTTTATTCGTACATCATCGTTGTCATTGCTACAGTCCATCAACTGAGCGTGTTTTTGTCGTTCTTGTGTCTGTATGTATGACTGGAAATATGGGCGGGTATGTACGCGTTTGGGCGTGTAGGTATGTGTGTGTGTGAGTCAAAATTTCAGCTGATTGCGAGTTTTGCAATTTGAAGTCTGATCGTTTCAAACAACTGCTCGCTAGCGCTCTCGTTGTGACTCGTAGAACGGTGTTTGCTATTGTTGTTACTTGGCCTAAAAACGTTGTGTGTTGATAGCGATGATGTCGTCGTATCATATGTATGTAGTCATATGTACATACATATATTTAGTCGTTGTGGGTCGTATTCGTTTTGGTCGTAGATTTTCGCAGTTGAATAATTGAAATTCACAATTTTTTTTTTCAAATTTTATTAAATATTTAAATTATTTGTTAATGACATTGTTTTTAAATTTACTTATTTTTTAATCATTATTATTTATTATTTTTTAGTGCATTTAGATAGAAATTATCAATTTATATGTTATATTTTTAATTGATGCTTTTCTTTTTAGACACGCGTTTAAGCTGTTAAACATTTATTTTCGTATAATTATTACATAAAATTAGCACATTGCCGTTAAACGCGCGTTCCTTGCTATTTTATTTAATTTTATTTTACGCTTGCGTTCTGTTTTTCGCTCGTTACAGCTTTTCGCCGATTTTCCGCTTCGATTCTCTAATACTACGACTACAGGCAGCAGTTGTAGTTGTTGTGGCAGCGCGGTTTCTATTTTATTGATTTGCAAACATTTTTAGTTCATTAATTAGCACATGATCGACGGGGTTAGTAGTTAGTTTTTATAAGTTAATGTAGGAAATAGAAAGAAAATTACAAAGAAAATAGTAAAGATAATTTTAGAAAAATTAAATTAAAAAGCTCAATACTTAGTTACAAAACAGAAAAGAGTTTGAAATAAAGGAAAAATGATATCACACCTTTAAAACAAGCACGCTTCACCGAAAATAACACTAGAACCGTAGCAAAGAACGTTCCCAGAGCGACTATCAGCCACACGCTAGAACTCAACAAGCAAGCAAAATTAAAATTGTACTCTTACGCTTCCGCAACTCAAGTGCTTTTTATTTTGCCTATTTTTGTTTGCTTCTGCTCACTTTACAAAAAAGCTATTGTTTGTACTCAATTTTTCGCCAACATATATCTAACTACTATTTGAATTTAATTTTTTCCACTTGGTTCTTTATTTCGGATATAAATCGTCCATATAATAATGGCGCATACAAATACACATACACAAATTTATCTAAACGCACTGTAGGCACAAAAGGCAAAGTGAGCCAAATAAATAAACAGCGTGAAAGCATACACACACAAATAGATAGGAAAACACAATGTTCGCTTATTTCGCGGCAACACCGATTAAAACATACTCGGCCAGTATGTATGCAGTTCGTTTATCACACGATAGTGGCTGATGACGGCAATGCAGACGAACGCGCGTATGTGTGTTTCCTTCAACACGGCGCGTAGCCCACTGACGGCTGATTAAACGCTGAAGCGCACACAAACGGCTGTTATCACAACACAGAACTTTGCAAACGCCAAATTAAAGAAGCCGTAAGCGCGAAGATAAAATATGCTAAGTGGTTATCTATCAGAGTGCAAGCCGACACTAAACGATAGTTAGCATGAGATGATCTATTTTATTTGCGCACGGCGTTGGCGGGGCAGTAGCGGTCAGCGAAGGCGCAAGCAGAGCAGGAAGCTGTGGATTTTCAGCAGCGGCAGCGACACATGCCACAAAATACCAACACACCTCACATACTTTCGCTTATGCTGACTCACTCACACATAAGCGCACACGGTAAGTATATATGAGTGCACGCGCCTGTCTTTAATTTGGTGGGACTGCATCTCATGCTCTTTCTCTTCTACGCGCATAATGTTCTAGTCGCCGCGCTGCTGACGTCGAAAACACAAGCTGTATATGTGTTTCTAATCTCGGTGCGAGTGTGTGTGTTCGTGCATTTTCGAACCATTCGCTGCGTCTTTTTTGCATGCACTTTCTTTGCACTAGATTGGCGGAAAAATGCAAGAAATTGCACTCTAGCCAACAACACGAACGATGCACGAAGACGCACACGATTATGTTGACGCCACCGACTCGTGCACGGATAATTCAATATCCTGTAATACATATGCAAGCGCATAGTGCGTGTATATCCGGAGCACGAGCAGGTAAGCGGGAGATTGCATTGACATCGACACGAGCCACAAATCGTCGCCAATATCAACGTTGTTACCGAGTGCAACAACAATAAGAAATATCGTATACACATACAACCCCAACCGTTTGCCAAAAGGAAAGCAGCTCTCCGCACGAGTAAGTGGTAGGCGGAGTGAGCGAAACACATGCATACCATTATTTAAGAGGGAAGCGAAATTGTGTGAAAATAAAAAGTAAGAAAGAAAAGTAAAACAACAAAAATGTAGACGACAGACATACGGTCAAGGTGGAAAAATCTGCAAAACGGCGCGCTAAGTAATTGTTGAGTGTGTGTGTGTGCGTATATGTTGTTGTGGGAAAATTCACAGGAAAATGGATGTGAACGCATTTTGTATGTGTGCGTGCCGAAAAACAAACAAGCCGGCATTTCTGCAATGTTATCAGGTAGCAATATTCGTGTTATTTAACAAACAAAGCGGAAAGAGTGGATATGCTAAGATTATTATATGTGTGATTCTTTCACAAGCGATGAAAAGTATATTATATATTAAGTATGTAATATGTAGGACTGAGACCAACCGCATATTTGAATATCTGTAATAACTCATCAAAAATATTCGTGGTTTTGGCTTTATCACTATTTTTCAAAATTAATTGATTATTTTCCGACATGTTGATATGTATTTATCAAAGTTCAAATGCAGATATCAGTTACCATTTGATCCAATATGTTAATACTAATTTTCATTATCGCCTTCAAAATGGAAGACTGGCATGAGGAAGTGTTTATCGATTCGGTTTGCGTTTAGGGTATACTTAAAATTTAGCCGAGTATGCAGACTTTAATTTTATACTGGTATCCTCATATTGTAATATTGAAGTTATCAGGATAAATGAAAAAAATTGAAGAAGTACGCAGGCACAGACTATTTCTAAATAGTCGAGAATTTATTAATACATATTACAGTTATTGAATCCACTGTTGTTGTTGTTGTAACGGCAGAAATTCTGCCGAGTTGACAGTCCTTGGTCGGATAAAAATCCGGGTCCGTTCCGGTTTTCGTAGACCCGACTGTCGTGGGAACGGTTGAATCTACTAACTTTGGCTATTTATGACGGTATTTCTACAATAGTAGTGAAAACTATTTTTGTCAATATTCGAAAACTGTAAAGTGGCACTTAAATGTATGCAACAATTTTCAGTGTAAATGTTTTAAAGACAATAATTATAATATAAATATATTTGAAAATTAAATATGAGTAATACAATAATAGTATTAACAGTTATAGTAGATAGTTAAAAAGTTCAATAGCATTTAGAAAAACTGCCACTACAAAACGGTTGTTTTCAATCACCAAAAGTATACAAATACTTTTCACATCAAATGTCATGTAAAGCCAACATTATGAAGAACTTAATTCCTGGTCATATTCTAAATATTAATAAAAATCAATTTGATGGCGAAATAAAAATTATTTATGATAGTTTGGGTAGCTTACAGAAAAGGAATTTCCGGTTTACGATTTAAATCAGAATTTTCTTCAATTTAATTAATATCAAAAAAAGACTCTTTGTTAAACATAATCCCATATACCATTTCGGCTAAATTCAAAAGTCAAGAATTCGAGTACAGCGAACTGTCTATGAATTCACAAAATCTAAAAGATCAACACTGCAAAACTCGGATGAAGAAGCAAAATAAATTGATAAAAATAAAATCGAAATAATACAGTGAAAGCGTGGCGTAAATTGATTTATTAAGCAACCACGGTGTCTTCCTAGTAAGTTGATTTTCACCAGCTTTTTATAAGGCGTAGTTTTCAGAAGCAAAATTATTCGCCAACAGTATAAAACAGAACAGTAAAATAACAGAACACTTGATTTTATGTCCTGACTTATGTTTAAGGTGGATGCACAAGAAAAAGCCTTACTTTAGAACAGATAGTTCCAAAGGTATACATTTTAAAGATTATTTCGACTACGAAGATCATATAATTTTATTTAGTGTATGATAAATCGATCTTGGTTTTTATTGAACTAGAAGTTCATCTAGAACATATTTAGGGTATAGCTGTTTCAAGAGCGATTTTAAATATATAAAGTATTTGCATTTTTTTATGAAGTCACAACTCTTATATTATAACTATTCCCATTAGCATAGATGAAGGGTATATTAAAAATTCGTTTACTTTTACATTGGTATGTTTCAACTAGAAGAATCTAAATCTACCCTCAAATAAATAACATTTTAAAAGTAAGCAGGCTAATTTTAATTTCGAAATCGAGTACCGCAATTTTAAAACAGCACTTACAGTACATAAAGAGGCATAAAAAAAATCAATAACTTCAGACAAATTTATGTATCATGGACGTAGCGAAAACCTTAAATTATTAGATTAATTAAAAGAAAGCAATAAAATTACTAATACAATATTGATTTACCGAAATTTGTGAGACATACGGTTTTTTGTAGAAATAATCTAATGACAAACCGCAATCCTTTCTTCATCAAGGGTAAAGGTAACCTGAGCTTGTCATAGATTAATTTAAGGTAATCTTTTATAAACTTGGTACTATTTCTTCTTCATGTACTATTTTTCACCCTATAATTATGTAGGTATTTAATTACTTCATAATTTTCCAAGTCTTTGAATAAATTGAAGCCCCATTTTCGTAATAAAGAGAGTTTGAGCTAATCGAAAGAAAAATCAAAATCTATAACAGTTTTGCTCAGGAGACACGCAATTAACAACCAATTAGCGAGACTGGGATCTCTTTCAACAATTTATACGAACTTAGACCATTCCTTAAATGGTTTGTAGGAATTATTATGGTAAGTTCATTCAAAACATTTTAAAATTACTAAAGGTATTGCCTCTCAAGTTCAAGGATGCCAACTCTGCCTAGTCATAGAACAATTTGTCCCATTTTGTGTTAGTTAATAGCAACACATTTATTTTAATTATCCACTAACCGAATATAAGTAGGCTTTACTTCTATTCGAAGTTACAGTCAGGGATAGACTTCATAATTGAGGGACTCTTCATTAAATGTTTGTAAATTATATGCAAGTGAGTTTATCTGAATTACATACATAAGTAAGTGATTATTATGAATTAATCAGTTATAGAAGGCAAACATTTATTGAAATTATTTATTTACGCAAAGCA